TCTGTTTGGCTGTCGAGAAAACTCAAGAAATGGAAGAAATTCTAATTTTCTTTTGTTGTTTTGTTAGAGTAGAGAATGATTTTGAATGGTTTAATACCTAATTTGGTCCCTAAACTTTCTTTTCGAAACTTAGTTCGTCCTTTAACTTCAGAAAGGACTCAAATCGTCCTTAAACTTTATTTTTCCAAAACTCAAATGATCCTTCCGTCACGGAACTGCTTACCTGTCACGTTAAGTCTCCACCAATTAAAAGAAAATCCATCACTTTGCTACATCCGATGACTTTAAACCTACAGTGTTTTAAAGGAAATCCATCACTTTCTCGATCTTCTTTTCTGAGGTAAGCATGAAAACTGGTTGCAGTACAAATGCAGATTGAAATTGCTCCTCCAACCAACCATAGCTCATCAAAAGCTCCTCCTTTTTTTCCCAAGTTTCCTTGCTCATAGCTGTCTTTGGACGAAGAGCATAAATAAAGGACTTTTTTGCTAGTTCCAAGCCCATTGCTTTAATTTCATGAACCATCTCTTCGAAGAAATCAACTTTACATGCAAATGCCCGAGGGTGCCACACTAATAGTGTCTGAATATGGCCTTCTGGCACACCTTGTGCACACAATGTGGATATATTAGGAACCATATCCTTATCAGGATTACACCAAAAAATACTCCATGTACTGACACTTTTCAAAGAACACACAATGTTCTCACCTGTCCCAAATTTCCCTTTAACGAAATCAACAAAAGGTATTATTTGCTTCTTCAAACTACTCTTGAGAATACGTTCTTTTGAACAGAGAACCTTAGTCAGGCTTTCTCCCACAATGCCTAAAGACTCAAAAAACTCAATCTTGGGCCTAAGAGTTTTCTCCGGGTTAGCCATCAAACAACGTGGGTGCTTAGAGATCAAAGTAGCAATGTCAGATTTAGTGAAACAATAACTTTTTAGAAGCCTAAGAACTGAATTTGATCCTTCGGTGTTCTTAAGGTTAATCCACTTAGAAGCTGAAATAGCTTTTATCCAACGAAAACCCACATGAGTCAGTGAGGAAAGAAATGGTTAGGGATTGTTGTTGGTGTGGTGATTTAGGAGAAGGAATCATCTTCGTCCTATTGTACCGCACATAACTAGCTTTCAGATCCACCTTCCGATACTGAGAAAAATGCTTTGTGGAAAAACCAAACATCTTTTCATATAAAATAGACGGATGAGTAATGGGCAAAAAACAAATATAAATAGGCCATGCTTCCACTCTCAAACGAACCTGCACCCAGACTCCATGCATTAGCTTCCATGGTCTGATTCTCACAAACCCAAAATCTAAAAAACAAATAGCAGAGGATTTAGGGTTCAAAGGAAGAAGAATGAATAACAAATGTAGATGATTTGGGGTTCGAAAAAGAAGGAATCACAATGGGTAGAGGATTTAGGGTTCGAAGAATAAGGAATCAAGAGTTGCAGAGGATTTAGGGGGTCGAAGAAGAAGGAATCAAGGGTTTGGAGAAGAAAGAATCAAGAGTTGCAGAGGATTGAGGGGTCGAAGAAGAAGGAATCAAGGGTTCGGAGATTGATCTGAAAGCATCGTCAATTGCTTTCTCGTTTTCTGGAGAGGGGTTTGGAAGAAGAAAGGGGAAAGAGAAAGTGAGAGTGAATCTAGAAGGAGGTTTGCTCTGCATCGACAAACGGAGACAATGTGGCCCATTTTTTTATTGTTTTATTTTATTTAGAAGGGTGGAGATTGCCATGTCATCAATTCGGGGGGTGAGGTGTATTGTCCGCGTAAGTTTGTAAAAATTGAAAGAGTAATTGGTGGAGACTTAACGTGCCAAGTAAGCAGTTCCGTTACAGAAGGATCATTTGAGTTCTGGAAAAATAAAGTTTAAGGACGATTTGGGTCCCTTCTGAAGTTAAAGGATGAACTAAGTTTCAAAAAGAAAGTTTAGGGACCAAATTGGGTATTAAACCTTCTAATTTTTAATTAATTTAAAGTTAGATGCCAAAATTGAGCCCCTTAACTTTTAATTTTGAACAAATTTTATCCCTCAACTTTTTGTATACTTTTTCAACAAAATTTTATGCCTCAACTTATTTTATATTTTTTTGTCTCCAAACTTTGAAAAATGCACAATTTTGGTCCTTGGTCAATTTGAGCCATTAAGTGCATCCACATAGTATTTTTTTATTTCCTTTAACAATTTAGAAATTACATCTAACCAAAGATGCTTAGCTAGAGAAAAAATAGGCCACACTTGATTCCCACAGTGAAATTTTAATATTACTCTCGTTTCCTTCATTTTCTCACCTCAACTAAATTACTTTCTCATTCTCCTCCTTTTTCCTTCTCTTTTTAATCTTTTCTTTCTGATAACCTTCCTCTTCCCCCTCATCACTTTCTTCTAGCTATGGTTTAAGAGAAACCAATTAGGCATTGGGTTCAATTGAACCTAGTTACTAGGTTTGAACGAAGGAGAGACTAGGTCCAAGCAAACCTAGCTAGGTTTGAACGAAATTGAGGCTAGGAGGTTATTTGGTATAATAGCTTGAAACTAGCGGTTAATAGTTTCATTTAATCTAATGAATAAGAGTGTTTGAATTATTAATAATAACAATTATCAATTGTTAGATTAAATGAAACTACAAACCACTAGCTTCAAATTGCCACAACAAACAGTCCTTGGGTTCAAACAAACACTAGGCTAGGTTCAATAAAACTTAGATTTGGGTTCTTTTGAACTCAATTTTCCTAACCCAGTTGCTTGCTTTGAAAGTCAAACATGCAATGGCTTCCTCATCCAATAAAGGATCAAATCTTTGACAAAGTTTGGATTTGTTTGAAATTAAAGACAAGAAAATCCAAAAGTGACAATTAAGTCTTGAGAGGACTATATAGCTAAAACCCTAGTCTATTGAGCTTGGGACTTGCATGGTACATGGGTAAATGTGCCCAAGGCTGACACTCATAGTCTAACATGGACTTGGGTATACAACAAAGAGGAGAGAATAAATAGGGAAAGAAAGTCTTCTCCTTCTAGGTATTCTACCTTAACTTAAAGACTAAATTTTACAATTTTAATTGAATTAGAATAACAAGTCTTTCATTCCTTATTAATATAAATAGGTGTAAAAAACTGTAGATCCCTAATGGTGAATTATTCATCATAGAATTTTTGGCCACTAAGTTTCTCTACCAAAAGTCAAAGGAGATTCAACTAGGTTTTTAATCACTAGCACTTTTTGAGATCCAATCTTCTACAAGTCCTTGAGTATATGTGTGGATCACTGTTAGAGGAATTCTACACTTGGATTTGTGGACCATTTCATTGAAGGACGGTGATCAAATCTACGTACCAATGAGGCACACATCATTGAGGTATTGACCATGAACCTTTCTTTAATTGTTAATTGATTCATAAGAATCCTAGGTGGGTTGAAAGAGGATTAAGAAAATTTTAAATTTGTATTTACTTCTATTATGTCATCTTAAACCCAACGTGAATTTAACACAAGACTTGCATATAATGTAAAACTAATTAATAATAGATGAAGTAGCTTTTCTTATATTTAACTTACATGTCTTATTAATATTCTTCCAATATTGGATTTTCCCTCTTAACCAAAAAAATAATGAACTAAAAAGGCGTGCAATGCATATAATACTGCTTGTTAATTCAATGGAGGTCTCTCTAATTTATCGGACATCTATTTCATCAATGTTTTTAAACTCATGTATAGAACAAAATTTTGGTAAAATATGCTTGGTTCTATCTCTTTTCATGTATTATCCTTTTATTTGTGCAATGTATATGGTATTATCATTATATAGTAAATTCAAACCTCCTATAATTACTGTAAGTCCACATGCATTCTCAACATCTTAGATCAAGGATCTTAACCATACACAATGATGACTAGCCTCAAATAATGTAACTAATTTCAAGTGGTTTAAAGATGTGGCTACCACTATCTATTGGGTTAAGCACCAAGAAATAGTGGTACCACCATATTTGAATAAATAACTTGTTTGTGATCATCTTTTATAAGGATCAAACAAATATCTAGCATCTGCATGTTATATCAAGTTTACAAAAAATGCGTTTTGAATTCTTCATATGTATAATCTTATATGTTTCCTCTTTGAATATAATGAAATAAATCTTTAATGCCATTCCAATGTCTTACTGTCATTGAGAACTAAAATCTTTCTAGTAAGTTTACAAAATATGTTATATTGGGTCTTATGTTCTTTACAAGGTACATTAATGCACATATAACATTCAAATATGATACTTTAAGACCCAGAACCTCTTTGTTATCTTCTCATGGTCGAAAAGAATCTTTCTTTACATCAAGGGATCAAACAACCATTAGTGAACTCAAAGGATGAGCGTTGTCCATACTAAATCACTTCAACATCTTTTCAACACAATTTGATTGATAAATAAAAATTCCATTTGGTAAGTGCTTGATTTGCAGGCCACAACAAAATTTTGTTGCCCCTATATCTTGTATCTTAAATTGTTTCTTTAAGCAGTCAACTACCATTTCAAGATCTTGATGTTTAATGGTGGCAAATCCAAGTTTAGATCTCTTGGTAAAGACACAAGGACTAGTCAAATTATTTTCATATCCATCTTTTAGGTTATACCATGTACATTCTTCTTGATTCCTTAGTTCATATAAAGATCATGCCAAATTTATTTCTCTCTTGGTTTTGAGTTATAGGCTTCAGGTATCTTAAATCCTATAGGGACTTTCATGTCAATATTACTATCAAATGATCCATATGGATAAGCTATTACAACATCCAAAAGGTGCATATGAAGTTTTTTAAAAACTGTGAAACTAATTAAAAAATTGAATGTAATAGTATTCATCACAGAAGAATATTTCTGACTATAATTAAATCTAAGTATTTGTATAAAACCTTGTACCACAAGTCTTATTTTGTATCATATACGCTCACTTTTTCATTTCATTTCGTCAATAATACCTATTTGTAGCCAACAGATTTTATATTATTAGGTGTTTGGACTATTAAGCCAAAAACTTGACGCTTTTCAATTGGCTCCTACACCCATGCATCCTCCAATAATTAGTATTGTTTCCCTCACATGTTTGCCTTCTAAAACCCCTATACAACTAATATGGCTTAAGAAGAATCCCTTTATTTATATTGCATACATTCTGACACCATGTCGACCCAAATCTTCTATCCTGACATAATCAATCTTTCTAGTCTCTCTTGTTATTCTCATATTTTTCTCTCAACACTTTCTTCCATAGATCATCACCTTCAAATAACAATCCACTTCATCTTCCTAACAACACTAAATCAAACCATCTTAAAAGTTTTTATGCCTACCCCACCATTATCCTTGGTTCTACACACATTTTCCTATCACACCCATGACACTTTCTTTTTATTCTCACTATATCCCAAAGAAATCTCTTACAAATTGTATCTTTTTCATTGATGATAACTCTTAGCATTTGATACATTTACAAGAGAAACTGTCATGCCCCAGAACTCAAATTCGGGGACGTGGCAGACGTCGTGCACTCGTGAGAGGATCCCACAAATGCACAAGGCTCAGAACTTATCCAATTCACATATGATAATCCAATAACTTAAATCAAACATCTCAATTTATTTCTATAACCAAAATGACTTAAATCCAAGTAATTGATCTAATGACCGAAATATGTTTTGATCTCATAAATTTAAAGTAAAATCTATCTTACAAAAGCATGATTTATTTCTAAAATCTATATCAATCTCGAAATGACCAACCTTTTAACTCGTCACTTCCCGTGGTTTCCCCGTCACTTACAGCATGCCAACAAGTATAATCAGAAAAACGGATACAGTACGAGAATGAAATAGACGTCTCCTCTATAGGTCATAGCCAGTGTTATAAACCTCCCACTGACAAGCACACGATTTACTAGTGTATAATCCCACTAGCAGGATAACAGAAACAAACCGATTCTATCAGTAACATGTCGACAGGTGCTAGCGTTTGTAAACCTCCCACTAGCGGCCACACGAATAACATGACCATATCGGAGACAAAACAGGCAGAAGTTAACAGAAAATCATACTTTACAGATAATTTCCAGATCATCAGGGCAGTTAAATAAACTCCAAGCAGGCATGCTCAAATCAATAAAAAGAATAACAATCTTATTTCAAATCAATCATACTCATTTTTGTATAAAACGGGTTTAGTCCCACCACCACTTCAAAAACAAGTTAAAATATACTTTTAAAATCAAAGGGTGTTACCATAATTTACTTACCTCACTTGCATAAAATTGGAAACTCAAGCCAAGTGCTCGGGTGATAGAACAATCACAAACCTAATCAAATATCCAAAAATTAATACCCATATGACCGAATATCTCAATTTTATTCTCAATATAACCACACATTTAAACCCTCCTATTGTTGGCCATTAGTGCGTGAACAGTACCCATAAACAGTAATTGCACTTCCAAAATTAGCAAAACAATGGCTAATTCACGGGATTTTTCTCCAAAAATCACAGCAGTAGCTAATTAACACTCAATCACATAATTTCACTTGAATAAATGCTTAAATTTTGTCCTAAAGCTATCGGAATTCATCCCCATTTTCTGCAGAATTTCAAACATCACAAGGCAGCAAATTAAATGGATAATTTTAGGCTTGGAGGAGCTATCAACATACCAGAATTTTCCAGTTGCAGAACCGGACCTGGCAGGGGGGAGAGGCCGGCGACAATTCTGCAGGGGACTCACGGGAACTACCCAAAATTCAAGAACCACAACCAAAAATTAGAGTAACCCAAGTTAAATCAAGGCTAGTGAGATGATTTCTTGGCTGTGGCTTACCAGAAAAAGCCGAAGGATGCACGCCCAGCAGAAATTCGTGGACAGCAAGGGAGGAAGACGCAGAGCAGAACAGATCTGGAAATTCTGCAGAGGGGGAGAGATTTCTGGGTTCAATTTTCAGTCCTAGAACAAGAAAACAAAGGGGAAATCTCAAGCTTCTTACCGGTTTTTTCCTCAAGGGAGGGCTGCCGGAAGCATGCTTCTTGTTCGGCTGTAGGGAGAAGAAAAGAAGAGCAGAAACGCGAAATGGCTGGGGAAGAAAGAAGGAAGAAAAATCATCCGGTACTTATCCAAATCCTTTCTCTTTTAAGTCCCTCAAGTTTGAAAATTTTGGCTATTAAACCCAAAACAATGTGTTTCCACAATTTAATCCTTAACTTAGTACTAAAATATCCCAAAATTTTGGGGTATTACATGCACCCCTCCCAAAAAGGAGTTTTGCCCCCAAAACTTGAATTTAGGGTCGTCTCAAGTGGTGAATGACTTCACACAATCCAAGACAACAAATGCCCCACTAATTTTCTATGAACAGACATGGCCTACTACGCTTCCACTGCGCCACTCTGATAACAAACCACAACTAATCCTAAAAGCAGAACACTAACTACTTAACAAGATTTACCATGAAATAAGTTACTAGAGGCTGGGGTGATATGAGAAGCACAAGGAATAGAAATAAATCCTACCAAAGCAACAAAAGAACAATTGTGGGGTTACGCTATGAACCCAACACAAGACGAGTTGACAAAGAATGACATGGATTTAAAGATGAGTACAACAAAATTTGAACTCTATCAAAAACGAATAAGCATCCAATGGATATACAGATCATGAATGGATGAATGAGTGCACAGATGCCTTATAAAGTCTACCACAAAACAAGGTTAACCAATAAGTAAGATCATGTTTAACAAAACAACTGGAATCAAGAGATAGATTTTAGCAATTAACAAGAGTTAAAAGCTAGACCCATCAAATGACATGTAAAATTTCCAAAATAGCATCAGAATGAAATCAATGGAAAATATGAATGCTTGGAAGAATACTGGAACATAAGAGTGCAATGTAGAATGCCTCAAAAATTCAACAACAAAACGACATTCATCAAGAATTAAGATCAAATTTAACCAACTAGTCAAAATTGAGAGACAAGAGTTAATGATGAAACAAGCAATAGAATTCAAGGATTAGACCCACAAAAGAGATTTCAATAATGACAACCAAAGCACGGATTCAAGAGCAGATATAACCAGGATGTCAAGATCTAGCATCCTAAGTAACACGAATTAATTGATAGAATAATCAATAATGGAGATTAGGATACTTAGAAGATTACTGTCTTCTAATTAAAAAGGCAAACAAAAATCAAAGCAACCAGATAAAAGAACCATTTCTCTTAGAATAAAACTCTAGGGCATCAGGTACTTCAAAGACTACCCCTTCACCTCGTAGCCCATGGAGGCTAAGCAGATTTACAATCAAGTCATCTTAGACATCCTAGAGTCAAGTCAAAGCTAAGACATCAAGAATTAAGAGATTAACACTTGCAAGAGACGAGAATTAGGATGCCTCATATAGGTATTTTCTAATAATCATCACCCCTTCTAAAGAGATGTCCATATGAACAAAAATCAAAAATCAAGAAGATCAACAGGTATACTAAAACAAGAACTAGCAGAACATGTAGGATTTGAGCAAGAGCAGTATACAAAATTTGAGCAAGAGCAAGGGTCAGGACAAGAATGGTTTTCAAGGACAATTCAAAATAGATTCCAAAAACCAAATATCAATTGATTTTCAAGAAAAGGATGCTAACATGACTTTACTCCAGGCAAGGTTCAAGATAAGATTCCAAGAACAGTGCAAGAATTAATTTCAGACAAGAATCAAGATAATGAGGATTTCAATAATCATTATCCATTTCCTTTTGATTTCAGTTTCAAGAATAAGTACAAAGCAATCTCAAGAAAGATTCAAGATGGATTTCAAGAGTTTCAAGCAGTTCCAAGCATCAAGAATGTAGAGATTAGCAACAATAGAGAGTTTAACTTTATGATAGCTTGCCAATCTTCACAAAAACATGGCAATTTCAATTGAATTGATCACTGTTTTTTATTAACCAATATAGAGAAATGAGCCACATGAAAAGACTATGAAGCTCCAAATGGAAAAAGTGAAACTTCACTAGAAGACTTATAGAAAGATAATGAGCAGCGAAATTACCAAGTTATCCAACTCCTAAAACGCATCTAGAAAACACACCACATTTGCTAAAATCGCCTTGAATCTCTTACAAAGTAGAGGGTTGCCCATCTTCCACTGGTCATGTGACAAACAGAACAAATTGCTCAACCAACTATGCTATAGAGACCAACAAGATCAATAACAAAAGATCTTTACAACTCCCCAAATTTTACAATTGTGGCAAAAGAGCATACAAAAATTCTATTCAAGTGACCAGTCTCAACAAGTGTAGATTATTAGAAAATGACCAAGTTTCAAAACAAGGTCTTAAGAACATGGTGGACAAGATTAATTTCATGAATCTACACAAGGTATGAAGGTAGGAAACGAGAACAATCAAATTACCATCTCATCAAAATGGATTAGAAAATTCAGGCAACATGAATCAGAATCGTCCTTTATATAACCCCATCACTCGTCTCACCACGGATCTAAAATCTATTGGCTAACCAAGTCCAAAACAAATCCTAGGTATTTAATACCACTTAATCTCCA